GCTATTTTACTCATTGACCTTGGGTTTGTCAGCCATAGCAGCCAGCAGCTGCCTTAGTGGAGATGCCTCCAGCTTCATTGGACCGGGAGCAAAGAGGCAGAGCTGAAGCCCAAGATGGAGGGGCCTTCACCCAGCATCTAGAGCTGGCACTTTGAAGTTGGACTTCTAGCCTCCAAAACTGCAAGAAAATAAATCCCTATTTGTGACAGTTATCCACTTATGATATTTCTCTTAGAGCGGAACTAGGGGACCAAAACAGTATCCATTGAAATACTTCTCTGCCCTGTCATTGATTAGTTATGGATTCCTGGTCAAGTCACATGATGTTTCTGAGTGCTAATTTCATCATTTAAAAAATGAGGTGTCTGGATCATTTCCAAGGACTCTTTCAACTCTTAAATTTTTGACTGATCTCTGATATCAAGATATTTTCCTCTAAGTAAGCAGCAGATGGCAGTGTGAAATCAGACTATTTTAAAAGGCAGCTTTCAATGTATTTGAAAATCTGTCAAAGCATTTCTGATAATTTGTTCTTAATGCTTAATTTTTTATAAAAGAATTATGTGTCAGGCTGTGGTGGTTAAGTTTGTGTGTCAACTTGGCTGGGCCTGGTTGAGTGGCTGGGCAGCTGGCTGTAGTATTTCCCATGATGAGACTGATAATCAATCCATGGTGGAATCTACTGGGAGAGCTGAGTAACTGCCTTTCAGTATGTGGTCCACTTCCTGTATATAAGGGACAGCTTTGGGAATGGTCTCTAGCTTATGGTACACTTGGACCCTGCATGTAGCCATGTCATTGTTCAGCAGCCTGCCATGCTCAGCTGACCTTGGGACTTAGAGCGGACTTGAATTAATGGCCAGCCGTGTGGTTTGGTAACACCGGGACTGTGCCATTTTATTTGTCGACCTTGGGCTTATTAGCCTCAGCAGCCAGTAGATGCCTGAGTGAAAAGATGCCTCTAGCTTCAGTGGGCCAGGAGCAAGAGGCAGAGCTGAAGCCCAAGGTCGAGGGGCTTTCACACAGCCCCTAGCGCCTGGCACTTTGAACTGGGACTTCTAGCCTCACAAAGTGTAAGAGAATAAACTCCTGTTTGTTAAGGCCATCCCATTTGTGGTATATTCCTGTCAGAGTGGCAGTAGGTAACCAGAACACAGGCAAAAAAGATTTTAAGAATTTATCACATAATTGATAATTAGATTATGGTGAAACCTGTGAGAGCTAGAACTCGATAGGATGCCTTGATTTTCTGGGTCTCGCAAGTTTTCTGCTTTTGACAAGGTACACCCTTACCACTATTCTGTCACCTGTTTTACTGGAAAATATGAGTGTTTCTTCTCTGACAGGTTTCCACCTTACATCCAAAAACCAAACTCACTGCTGTCAAGTTGGATCCAACTCAAAACAACCCCTCCTTGGGTTTCCGAGGCAGTATCACTATGGAAATAGATAGCCCAGTCTTCCTTCCAAGGAGTAGCTGGTGGGTTTGAACCTCCAGCCTTCTGGTTAACCCTCAAATGCCTTAGGCACTACGCCACCCTTGTTCCCTCCGCCTTACAAAGGTACTGGCTTTTGTAGGTTTTAATGTATATATTTAATAAAACAGTGGTTCTGGTTCACATGCTACGCAAATGATTTGCTCTTGCCAATCCATGGGTTTCCTCATGGATTTAATAGGCATTAAGGAGTATAGATTTTAGGTCCTCCTAACACTTGAATATTGTAAAGTATATCAGTAAAAATCTCTTCTTTAAATTCCATTGTGCCTGTTAATTTCGTAAACACTCTCACTGCCAATGAAATTTGATCAACAACAGAAAAAGGTCATGCCTTTATGATATCAGACATTCATTTATGAAATTTGACTCCTAAAATCATCTCTGATTTTGAGGTGAGTAAGCAGTTCTTACTGGGTGTATAGACATTCCAGCTATTGGATGACAATTTTGGTCTTCCAAATGGGTTTTCCTTTTGAAACACTGCCGTGTTTTTTTCTCTCTGTTAATCATATAAACATGTCAGTACTGGCTTAGACAAGAGGACCTGAAGACGTCAGGGCAGAAATGTAGGGGAGCCATAGGTATTGAGAATTGTGTGGTTGCTCAGTGCTTATAACCTTGTTTTAATGTGCTTAGGAGATTCTATAGTGTTGGAAACAGTGTTGGGCTTGGGGCCTAATTCTGGCTCTGCCACTTACTCATAGAAGATTGTGGATGGATTATATCATTTCTCAATTCCAGCCTACTTCAAAAAAATGTATTGACATAAAAGATGTGTACAGCAAGAAGGAAAGTATCATTAAAAGTATAAAAACAAACTCACGGCCATTGAGTCAGTTCTGACTCATAGTGACCCCCTTTGGGTTTCTGAGGTGGTAAATCTTTACCATTCCATGGAAGGAAGACTGGGCAATCTATTTCCATAAAGATTTTGCTGTACACATGCTTTACATCAATGAATTTTTCTTCTACTGAGTGTGCTTTTTAGAAATTGGAGATAATTTGGATAAGGCATCTTTAAGATTGTTGTCAGTTCAACAAAGGCATACTTGTCTTTGCTTCTGATTCTAAATCCTGCGCTTTCCCTCTACCTGGCTGATACTAGCTATGGGCTTGGACAACCTCTCTGAGCTTCAGTTTCCTTCATGTAAAATAAGATTATACGGCTGAATAATCCTAATGGGTTTTATATCTAATATGCTAAGCTCTGTAGTTTTGGGTGCTTTCAAAGTGCAGGGTTAGTGGGTTAGAATTTCACTGTTGCTTATGCATAAAACACTGAGTATTGCCTGATAGCCTAGTGCCTAAGGCACTTGACTGCTAACCAGAAGGCTGGCAGTTCAAAGCCACCAGCCATTCCATGGAAGGAAGGTTGGACAATCTACTTCCATAGTGATACTGCCTCAGAAACCCAAGGAGGGGTTGCTATGAGTCGGATCCAACTCGACAGCACATAACAACAACAACAAGGTATAGAACTTTAGTAGTGTCCTATATGTAGTGGATAAGGCATCTAGTTGGTAACCAGAACGTCAGCAGTTCAAACCCACCAGCCACTCCATGGAAGAAAGATGGGGCGATTTACTTCAGTAAAGATTTACAGCCTTGGAAACCTAATGGGGATCGGAATCGACTCAATGGCAGTGAGTTTGGTTTTTTGGTTTATAGGACTGACAAAGAGGCAGGGAGGCTGCATCTTCTGACCTCCTCTAACCCCACAAGAGGAAGACAGAATCACCATCAGTAGCCCAAGGCCTATTCCTGCGAGGCCAGACATGCTGCCTCCCTCCAGCCTTTTCACCAACCCTGACATCAACCGTTCCTCCCACAGCACTCACCACCTTTCTGCTGGGTTCAATAATTCACTGCAGTGGCCACACAGAACTCACAGATTATGGGGTTTATTAGGGAAGCACCAGACTACAATTCAAGTTCAGGAAAAATGCTCAGTCTCTTTCATCCCGCTGTCTCTCAGCCAACAGTCTCAGCCACTCTCCCAGCAGTTCGTGTCTCTCGGTGCCTCTCTTAGCAATGCGTGTCTCCTGCGTCTCTTTCCCAGCAGCACATGTCTCCCAGGAGCACATGTCTCTCGGAAGCGTGTGCTCTCAGGAGTGTGTTTCTCTCAGCAGCATGTCCTTTTCAGCCAGCAGTCAGAGAGCCTTCTTCTGCCTATAGGAGGCCTCGTTTTGAGCCTGGCAGATTAGCCAAACTAACCAATCATCACATCAGAATTCTAAGCACCTGAGAGAGAGTGAACTTCCTAGAACATTGCTTTGTGCCACTCCCAACAGAAATACCCCAGGTGGATAACTTGTCGATAACTTTTACAATCAGGAGCTCCTCAGTTGCTCACGGCAAATTCCACCGGAGTTTTCAAAGACTTATGGCTAGAAAAGCAATACCAAGTAATTTACTACACTGCAATAGGTCACTATGAGCTGGAACTGACTCTATGGCAACTGGTATTATGCTAGAACAGGTCCCAGTAGTGGGTATCTTTACCAGTACAGTATTGCTGACAGACCCATTCGTGGATTGATAAGATGCACTTCCATTTGGCCTCACCTCTAAGCCAAAATTCTCTAGGCAGAGAGTAGCAACCTCTCCCCTATCTCACCTCTATACAGGATTGCTGTTGATTTTAATTCCATTATTCACCAATTACATGATGGGTTTTGGCAGGGAAAGAGCTCTGAGTAGGAAAGATGTATGAAACATACTAGGAGACATGTTTCTCAGAAAAATGTAGTGGTTATAGGGTGGATTCAGGGAGCTCTGGTGGTTAAAGCATTTGGCTGCTAACCAAAATGTCAGTGATTCCAAATGAAGTAGTCTGCTTCCATAGGGATTAAAAGCTTTGGAAACGAAACGCTATGGTGTAGTTGTATTCTGTCCTATAGGGCCACTATGAGTCAGAATGGTTTAGATGACAATGAGGGTGGGAGGATGGGTTCAGGAGCCAAACAGCGTCTGTTTTCATGTCTTCTAATAATCCTCTGGTTACTGTTGATGCTTCTCCTACTATCATGAAAAGTTAGCATTGGTTGGACACTTACTTGTACCAGGCCTTGTGAAAAGCTTTATATTCATGATTTTAATTGTCCTCTCAGTAACACTATGAGGTGAATACTATTATTCCAATTTTCAGTGAGGAACTGAGGCATAGAGAGATTAAACAAATTGCTTGAGATCAAACAGCTAGAAGTGATAGAACTAAAATTTGATAAAAAAATGTTTGACTCCAAAGTCTCCATTCCTTAACTATATGATCTTACCATCCTGAAACTTTAATTTCCTCATCAAGATAATGGGGAAAACAATGCTATCTGTTGCAAAGTTTCTAAAATAGTATGTAGTACATGGAAATATTCAGTGGATGCTTATATTTTTGTTGTTGTTTTATGATGCAAAGTATCATTTTAAACTTATGATGAAACGGATCATATTATGCCAGAAAAGAGGTTACCATTGAGTAAGTGAAGGTTTCATTTGTGTTTTTAGGTCCTGTCTGCAGCCTCTGTGTCTCATCTTTTGGAGCAAGACCTGTCACCATCTTCAGTGGCTTCCTGGTGGCTGGCGGTCTGATGTTGAGCAGTTTTGCTCCTAATATCTATTTTCTGCTTTTTTCCTATGGAATTGTTGTAGGTAAGGAATCTGGCCACTGTAACTATTTTAATCATTAAGAGTTAAATGTCATTCCACTAGTGTCAGTTTTGTTGTTCAGTTAATATTATGAGTGAAAATTCTCATTAATAATTTACTTTCATGGCCACTTCACCCAAAATTGATTGCCCACTGAATCAAAATGTTTTAAAAGATAAATGCATTTTAACACTCCACACTGTCCTTTCTTGCAAGACTCAGGAAGGTTTTTCATTTTAATGCTTGTCTCTCCAAAAAGAAAAAAAAAACCCAAACTACTGCTATCAAGTCGGATCCAACCTATAGCACCACCTCCTTGGGTTTCTGAGGCTGTATCACTACAAAAGTAGATTGTCTAATCTTTCTTCTGAGGAGTGGTTGGTGGGTTTGAACCACCAGCCTTCTGGTTAGCAGTCAAAAAATGCCTTAGTCACCATGCCACCAGAGAAAGGAAAAGGGAGAGGAGGAGCACAAATTTAGATGTTAGAATGTTCTTCTGAGTTAAGAAGTAGTTTCTTTTAAATTGTGTGGCTAAGCTTTATTGGGTGGCTCAGCGGTTAAGTGCTCAGGTGCTAACCTAAAGGTTGGTTGTTCTAACCCATCAGTCACTCCCTGGGAGAAGCATTGACAATCTGCTTCTATAAAGATGACAGCATTGGAAACCATACGGGGCAGTTCTACTCTGTCCTAGAGACAGAATCAACTCGATGGCACACAACAGCACTAACAAGCTCTGTTGAATTGTTCATGTCCCAAATGACCTGTGTTCACAGCTTCCATTATCATAGCCCAAATAAAAAAATCACAACTAAGGGCAGATTTTTTTTTTTCAGTTATAAATGGATTTTATTGAGTTTAGTTTTATAGTCTAAGACTAGTACATCATAATAACTATTTTTGAGCTTATAAAATACTCATAAAACTTAAGTATAACTTTTGTTATGATTCACTCATGGCACAGACATCAACTGGCCATGTCATTTATCGTTGAAAAATGTATAGCATGAGAGCACGGTTCATGATCTGGCTAATAGTTTATTGGTTTCTTGTGTTTATTCTTCTTTCTGTTTGTCTCCAGTTACTCATCACTCTCTCTGAGAAATATTAAAGTCTTGGCTGGGCCACTTAGCAATTTATAGTATGAGACGCCTACAGTAGCACCACATGTGATTTTCACCATTGATTCTTCTTTTTTTAATAATATTTTATTATGTTTAAAGTTAAAGTTTACATAGCAAATTAGATTCCCATTTAACAATTTCTACACAAATTATTCAGTGATACTGGTTTCATTTTTCACCATGTGTCATTATGCTCTTTCATTCTATTCTGCTTATACCATTTCCAGTTCTCTAGTTTCCCTGCCCCCTTACTTTCTCATCTTTGCTTTAGAATAATATAATAATATAAGAGACCATTTGGTCTCTTATAGATGATTTGGTTTCTTATAGATGCTTTTTTAGAAGAAGCTTATAAAAAGTGACCTCAAAGGATAATTTTGGTTTGTGGTTTGAAGGGTAGTTCAGGGTGATAGTCTTGGGGAATAGTCTCAACCAGTCAAGTAAGTCTGGACTTTTTAAGAATTTGAATTATGTTCCACATTTTCTTCAATTGTATCAGGATCCATTCATTGTAATCCTGATCAGAATGGTCATAGTGATAGCTGGGCACCATCTAGTTCTGGTTCTCAGGGTAGGTGAGGCTGTAGTTTGTGTAGACATTAGCTCTGTAGACTACTTTCTTTTCTGAATCTTTGGTTTCCTTCTTTCTCTTTTGTTCTGGATGAATAAAGAACTGCCCTGTATGGTTTCCAATGCTGTCTTCTTTTTAGAAGCAGATTGTCAATGCTTCTCCCAGGGAGTGACTGATGGGTTAGAACCACCAACCTTTAGGTTAGCACCTGAGCACTTAACCGCTGAGCCACCCAATAAAGCTTAGCCACATAATTTAAAAGAAACTACTTCTTAACTCAGAAGAACATTCTAACATCTAAATTTGTGCTCCTCCTCTCCCTTTTCCTTGAACTATTTTATGCCAGTTAACTGAGTTGTCCTAAGAGACTATGGTCTTAAACCCAGAAAACCAATCTTGCAAGGTATTTGTTTATGTCTGAGAAGTATCCATAACTGTGTCCACTATGTAGTTTATTATATATATGGATATACATGCATACACACATATACTTGTATCTACATATGGCTATAGATACTTCTTCTGTGCATAGATATGTACCCATATGTTTGTACTCTTGTGTATATATGCCTATATACATATTTTTATAATCATACATATACATATTGGTTGTTGGTGTTGTTGCAAAGTTATATTTGTTATATCCCATATAATGTCATTTTTCTCTTGTGCACATCTTAATGACTTCATTTACCTTGGTCAAACTTTGTACACTTCACCCACACCTTTCCATCACCAAAAATAACAAGTGTCTACTATCTTGAGAGTGCTTCCTTCTCTCCACCTCCCCATCCCACTATGCATGTTGGTTTCTCTCTGTCTCAATATATATATTCTTCTTATAAAATTGTGATCATGTGACATTTGTTCTTCAAGTAGTGGATTCTGGGTCAGAAAACAGGCTTATACTCTGAAGAATGCCATTATTCTGGTTTGGCAATAGGTTCTGAATCCTAGTCATGGGAGAAAACTGTCTGCACACAGAGGGAGTATTAGACTTTGGGTCAGGAGGTCTGACCCAAACTTGAGCAAACTTAAGCAAACCTCTTGAGCATGAACTTGAGCAAACCTCTTACATTTGTCCATGAATGATTATCCCCTCCTCTGTGAAAGTAGGTTCTCACATCAGTGTTGTGAGGACTAAATACAGTTAAGTCTATAAAAATAAGCAGCAAAAAACCAAACAAATAAACGAGTTGAGTTAGATTTCATTTAATAATAATGATACACTTCACCTTGATAATCATTGAAGCCCTGTGAACTACTCTTTGCTTCTTTGTGGTCTTATTTTTTCTTAGGCTCATAGTATGAGTCTCATGGAATATTTATGGAAATAATAAATAGTATAATAAAGAACACTTTGATTCTGTTAGCAATTGAAGTAGAGAGCTCAATTGAAAAGGAAGTGATAACAAATTATTATACATTCTAAACTTATTCTCCTTTTTGTATTATAAATTCTTAAAAAACATAAAAGATTAAGACGAATGGTAACATTCCCTGAGCCCCTGTGTTCTGCAGAGTCTTATCCTAAGATAAGGACTTACATTTGTTTGGAATGAACTAGATGGTCTCTTAAGATAGACAGTATGGCATAGGGAAGGAGCAAGCACTAACAGATTCTGGGGTTGGACCTTGTGGATTAATTTTATCTAATCCATTCACCTACTGTGTGACCTTAGACAAATTATTTAATTTATTTTTTCTCATTTGTAAACTGAGCATAGTAATAGTATCTACTTTATAAGTTTTGTGAAGATAAAATTAGAAAATGCAGTAAACATTAGCTAGAACCACATTATTAGTGGTTCAGTGACCTTGGAAAATTATGCAATCTCTCTGAAATTCCATTTCTGTTTTTGATAAAATGGGACTAATATAATTTCACAGACATATTGTGACTATTCACGAGATAGCATATATAAAGAGGCATTTAGAGGTGTTTAATCTATACTTGTTTCCTTCCCTAAGTTCCTTTCTGACATCTTGGTTTAAGACCACAGCAGCCATTTTTTTTTTCCTGCAATTGAAGAAGCCCTACTGAATCAGAAATTTATATAAAATATTATAATTAATTAAAATACAAAATATCCAAAAACCCCACTAAAATGTATTAATTGGCACAATTCATTTTTACCATTTCATTGCTCTTTCAAAAAAATATCATCTTAATGCAACGACGAGTCTTTCCTCTTCCAGAGCAAAGAAGAATGAAGAAAACCAAAAATTCATGGAAACTATTAGTCCTAGAGACTAGTACACTATCTGATCTGCAGCCTATACAACTATGAGACCAGAAGAACTAGATGGTGCCCGGTTACCAATGTCAACCACTTAGAAGGGGATCTATGTAGGAGATCCTGGACAGAGAGGGAGAACAATGTAGAACAAAACTCAAAATCATTTGGGGGGGAAAAAAGAGGGGGGGAACCAGATTTGCTGGTCCCATAGAGCCTGGTGGAACCACTGAGACTATGTCCCCTAGCTGCCCTTCAGGTCTGGAATTGAACCCACACCTGTGGCTTCCAGCCAAACAAAAGACAGGCATATGAGTTGAACATTTACCTAAGATAGATACACTCCTTGGAGAGAACAATCATGGGAGAAAGAAGGGCTGCTTATGCACAGGGAGACAGCTCAGGGGGCAGCAGTGAATGGAGGGATGGACACAGGGAAGAGGTAACTATGGGGAGGAAGTGGGAGGGGAGCTATTACATTGTGGTAAACTGTGTTCACTGTCATGAGACAAAGTGTATATGAACTGCTGTATGGAAAGTGAATTTGCTCTGTAAATTTTCACCCAAATCACAATTATATATATATATATAATCTTAAAAACATATGTAGATTTTTCTTGTTATGTTTTTGCACCTGGTGTAAAATGGCAGCTTGCCAAATTTCTGGTGAGTTGAAGTCACATGGCCAGGCTTGGTAGTTCAGCCTCTTATTTTCTCAATACTAAAAAATAAAAAAACCCCACCAAACTCATTGCTATTGAGTTGGACTCATAGCGACCCCTCCTTGGGTTTCTGAGGCGGTATCAGTATGGAAGTGGATTGCCCAACCGTCCTTCTGAGGAGTCGCTGGTGGGTTTGAACCACCAGCCTTCTGGTTAGCAGTCAAATTGCCTTAGGCACTATGCCACCAGAGCTCCCATTTTCTCAATAATCTTACTAAATCAGTGTAAAGAAAGTATGGTTGGGGAACTGGGGATAAGGTGAGAAGGGCGTGGTCCAGAAATGGACCCTCAATGAATAGTTCATGCTTCTTTCAAATAATGCTGCTTTGCTTTTGCACAACTCAAAATCAAT